CTACAATAACAGTGATAAAACTTTTTTCAACGTGAAGGTACAAGCTCAACATGCACACGTCACAGAATAAGATATTGATCAATGTGAAACTTGGAGAACGAAAACTAATAAATTGTGTAATTTCCATACTATTAGGTGTGGCATTTGTAAGGTTCTCGTCCTCGAAGTGCTTATTGATCAACACTTTATTTTGTGATCTCCGCATTTTGGAGACTGAATATCTTTTGTAGTATGTCCTGTTGAAGAAAATGAACAGTTTGGAGAGCTTAAGCTAGATAAAGAATTACTTTTGTGTGACCTGACTTCTATTGCGGTTAAGCATTGCAGATGTTTAAGTTGCTGTGGAACAGCGTTGTTATTTCGCATCCGTTTTCTTGGCTGTCAGATTTCATAGCGCTGTGGTGTGTCACGGTTATTTCGACTGGACGCCTCTAGACATAGCATAATGAGAGTTTGCGCACTGGATTGTCGCTTCGCTTTGCCTCAGCGGGCGTGCAACTCAGGTGGCACTTCTGTAATAGTATTCGAACTATATCACATGTAGCATTGATTGAAAATACTATGGTTCAGTTGCCTCTGATTGGATGTATCGTCTATGGTTGGTTGAGAGGATGGTGTCCAGAACACAATACCTAGTACCCTGCTCTTTGGATTAGCGGGGGCTTAGTAAACAAAGCAATTTGCTTGCTCAATTATTTTATCGAAGTCCGATACAAAATTGTTAGAAACATCCAAGCAAAACTAATATGCCTCATGTAACGGAAATAGGGAGGTAAAAACAAGCAAGGAAGCCATTCAACTTTTATCTGGTGACAAATGCGAGTGGATGTTTGTTTTCCTCTATGCCGTCGGACCCGTTATAAATAAAGCAACCATTTGTCACGATCCACCGAGCAGAAAGCTGCGTCATTAGTTTCAGGTGCGATTAAGGGACAATTAGCTAAAATCGCCGTACACAGCTAAAATTAAATGGGTATTCAGTAAGAAGGGTGCTGGCCCTGGGGAGATTATTTTTGCCATACGAAACTCAAATGTCGCTTCACCATTTCATCTTTGATATTCTAACAATGCTTTACAAACGTTTATCGCTTAATCGGGTTACGTCAGCAAGCTGGAATACCAGATAAGGCGCATGAAAGTTACAGTTAGAAAATTACAAGGCTGTGCGCCATCTAGGTTCGTTTTTGAATGGAATAGAAGGTCACCTGATTTCTCGTATTATATCCCCTTAACACTGTTTTATAGCTCCGAAGCATAACTTTACTATTCTCCAAAATGACGGAATGACGGGGTGTCAAATTTGGGCATTTTTGTACATTAAATCGATTTGTGCAGAAATTCAAAATTAAGTTTGATCCAAAAAAATTCGGTGGTATATAATGATCATAAGACCCGAAATCACCTACGCATGCGCGGCTTAGGGTTTTCATGTCAAGACGCATATGGAGAGGCTGCAAGTCCTGCAAAATAGAACCCTACTCATAATCACCAACGCCCATCCCAAATTAGACCATTCACAAAGATCTTGATATCCCATATCTAAGCGGTAATGTAAAACAACAGGCACAGCGGCGTTATAATCAAGCCGAATCACACAGCAGCCCTCTGTTGGGTGCTTCAGTAGAATACACAGTCGGGCAGCGTCCAGGCCGCGCCGCGCACTGTGATCAAAATTAAATTGTGAACTTCAGACCAACTAAAATTATTTTAGTATATAAAACCGATCAAAATTATTTTCTGTAGTAACAAAATTATTCTGGTAGTCAAATCAATAATACTTAATCTATTTCAAATGACTTACTTATTTACTTTGCTCTATTTCTTTCTTCTTTTCTTTTCTTCTTTCCCTTTTTCCCTTAAACATGTTTGGTATCTGGGTAGCCAGACCTGACAGACTATCTGACCGACGAGACTTTTAACTAAGAGCAAGGGTCCACCGGCTCGCTCTGACGAACATTGACGAATAGTATTAAATCGATTATAACTCAACAACCAATCATTAAAATCCTATAGTGTTCTATAATCTTTTTCATTTGGCAGAGTGTATTTGATTATGCAGTATAATACGACTTTCCGTTTTCAGGGAACGACAGAATTGATATACGTATCTGGATGGATTAGTTGTATGATGGAGATCTAGCTCCCTTCTATCACAAGGTCAACAGGCTTTGCTTCTCAGGACTCTGCTTCATTATGCCAGGTAGACCTGCCTCGCTTTGGCTTCCCATCCTAAGCGAGTCGAAGTTCGTACATCCAGAAGTGACAGATGCGATAGCTTCCTTGTTCCTACGGTATCAAGATGGAACAATCTACTTGTAACGATTTTTCCCTAGCCTCAGGTGGTTCAAAAATTGGATTAACAAAAGTTTCTTCAAGCTCTATAATGTTTTCATAGAGGGTTAAAGGAGAGGAACGTTCTTGAGAAACGCTGTACAGAACGAACTACCCTCGTTCACACATGTTTATCCGGACTTTTGAACTTCTTTATCACTTTTATCCAATACCGTGGTCAGTACAGCAGTTCAAACCGATTCATACTGCGTATTTTAGTTTGATAACAATAAATCATACGATATTGTAGGGTTTTAAGTTCTTGCGTGATTGATAGCACTTCTAGCGAGTTATGCATCTCTGAGAAACTTTGTACAGTTATCGATTTTTGATCTCCAAGTAATTTGTTCTCCTCTTGCCATTTTTCTTTCATAACTATCTTGTTTAATTTCCGAGTTTTTCATCATCATTCGTATTGTGTGCTGTGCACAGGTACAATGGAGCATGATCCAAGATAATTTCTGCTTGTAATCATCCTTTTATTAAAAAGAATTTCTGTTACCCCTTGAACAAGGTTTTATGAGTTATCATCAGCCTTCTATGGCCTTGGACTACTTTTGCCAATAATTTGTTTTTTGAGTTGTGAGTTGTTATATTATGCAGTAATCGAATTTTGAAACTCAAGACCAAAATCTTCATGAACCTATACGAAGTCCTATTAAAACATCATCCACGTTATGATTGATAGTTAGCGCATAATGAAAATGACCACCACCGGGATGTTATTTTTGCTTGCGGAGAATTCCTTTCGATTACGGTATTATTTTCCTCCTTGCGAAAGAGATACATGGTGAAAGATTCTCGAGTGCCTCATATCTTTGATAAATGCAAGGTCACGCTATGTACCCTTTAGTGCAGGCGATTTATAAATCCTGAGAAAATACGGGCTGGGTATGCATATACGGGCCAGGTTATATTTCAAAGCGTGATCGGTATGCAGCATGGAGGCGGTATGGTGCATCAAGTCGCTGCCTAAAGCGCTATCCAGAAGACGCTTTGTTATTCGAAGTATACACTTTGATACGCCTTTCATCTCCTCACAACATATTCCTGAAAAGGTAGCGATAAGGTTTTTAAGAGGTATTGTGCGTTCGGCCTTCAAGAAATATAGAATATTCTAATGAGAAGAGTGGCTTGGATTGCATACAGGAATATCAGAAGGTCATGCTTACATCACAGTATATTTATATGTGTATCAGACGCATGGTGTAAACAGGCTAAAGCTACGTGACTTGATTGGCTTAACGGTAGCTTAGTTGATCACAGATCGAACGCCACCATGCATCAGAGGTCAATCAAGTTTATGTTCCAACTCATGAAATCTGTTTTTTTGTTTATTAATCTTTGGATATGTTTACACTGATTTGTGATATCTGTCTATACCGTGCTCATCTAACCACGGAACGTACTGACCATGTTTACGCTTAGTGAGTTATGCATCTATTTATTATTGTATACACGTGCATTTATTATGCATCCGATTTTACTAAGTCGGGGTGCAAAGAAGCACGTGGGTGACAAATTGAACCAACGAGAAGGCGTCTTTAAATTAATATGGTCGACTTCTCGTGAAATGTCTCTCAAACTAGATAAAAATTACAGGGTTTGTGTTAGATGAGCTCCATATTAAACCAAGAAATACGACATAAATCCATCATCTTAGCCATAAAAACTTACTTTTATATTTGCGTTCTGACACTAAATTAGCGACCAGAATGATGTAATGCAGCTACGAAGAATAAGCATTTGTGCCATACTGGACCCAAATCTGATACAATGTCTATATTGATATGACTACAACTAATTTTGCATTTTATTGAAAATAATAGTGTTTCACTAAATTCTGCTTGAGAAATTATTTGAGGACGTGAATAAAGTTACAAACCGCTTATTCTTTAACAAACGTCCAGCTCTTTTACCAGTACAGTGGCTTTATAGGAACAGTGGCGACAATAGATCGTCAACGTTCTGATTGGTGCCGCCATTAGGAGGCAAAGTTTGTGTTGTTGCAGTCTTTCCATATTTTAAGGAGATAACGATAAAAAATTAGTATCAATATAAATAGGTGTATTAGAATTTGGCGAGGTACTTTATGAAAAGTAATAAATATATGGTTAAATACCTAGGTACTTATTTAACCTGTTTTGAATCTTGTGGCTTAACAGCTGGTTAAAAATTCAATTTTCTATTGAAAGGTGCGTGAATTTTTCGTACGTATACATATACTATCTCGGTATTATTATGGATCTTATAAAAACATTAGATTCAACGTGTTACTAGGATAAAAAAGATAGCCTTCATTAGTACCTAAGTAATTGGTTTAAATCTACATGTATGTATCTAGAGCAACGTTTTAAAACAAAATGCCAGGGTGTGCACTAGTAGGATGCACAGATTAAAGGGATTTTTGATGAAATGGTCCCAGAGGATCCTCAGTAGAGAGAAAAAAGTCGGCAGCAAAAATGAAAAGGGGAAAGTGGAACCAATAGATTCCTTAACTGTATGTGAGGTAAGATAAGCCAGTATAGCTTTGTATTCTGAATAATATGCTATATGTTTGAATTAAAGACGAAATTTAATGCACTATTGAATTGATAAAAGTTATGAAATCACTTACATTGTCTCTAAAATTTTTGGTGATATTGTTTTTGATTCACTTTGCTCAAGAAATGAGGGAAAAAGACGATAGAAAATTGAAGAATAATGCTTTTCCACCAATTTTCTCTTTTTTTATACTACAACTACCACGAAGATCTAAGGCCTAAACACCCATTGGGTACCGTGGGGCTATAGGGGGATACAGGGGAAAGGGGGAACGCCACACTAACTCTGGCGAGGGGACACGTTTGCATGCAACATGCATACATTCTGGCTCCGTCTACGAGATCCGCCGGGTGGTACCTCCGCGTTCGACAGTCAGAGACCGTCTGCCACCTACGGACAATCACAACATCCATAGCCAGGAGAAAAATTTCTCTCGGAACGGGATCCGAACCCGCACAGCGCACGGCGACTGATCATGGGACCGAAGAGTCTACTACTGCGGCCACCGCTGTTGCCTAAAGCCAAACCGAAGAGATAACCACCGTCACAAAGAGAAGTTCCTGCAAGTGTCTCACCTCTTGTTTTGGATAACGAAGAAGAAAATTTTGATCCTACTCCTACAAAGATATAAAAGTTTCAGCTTCAAGTAAATCACACCCTTTTTACTCCTTTAATACATCGGACAGTGTTATGGTCAGTTCTTTTCAGGAAAACTCAAGTGATGAAATAATTATGTCAGGATCTGCTGTGATATTTCAAGCAGGTTTAAAAAATACTTTGACATAGACTGTTCTCAAAATATGAATTTGAAAGATTTTTTTATCAATTAAATGGAAGAATTAGTAGATAATATATTAAATTGTGATAACGTCAAGCATGAATTGTAAGTAGGTGGTTCTTAAGCTTAAAATAGATAGTACGAAAAAAGTTAGTTCACGCCATTAATATGCAAGTAATTAATATAAAAGGCGTAATATATATTTATTTTGTTACACTTGTTCTGAAACCAATTTCCAAATATCCAGACCATTGCAATAGTGCTTCTGTTTTTATTTTTCAAGCAAAAGTATTATCTACTGGTTTTATTCATCAAAATCAAGCATCATTTCAATGTTTTATTATACGAATATAATGTTGTTCAAAACTTTGATACATGAAACAAATAAGAAACTCTATTTCTGTATAACCTGTGTTCTCTTCTCCATGCAACTACAAATAACAGATTTTTTTAACATAAAATAGCCTCGAGATCTTCTATTGATTTCAGATTTCTTTATCTAAATGAAATTGAGTAAAATGTCACCACTTTAGGAAAGGCATCCGCATTTACATTAACATTATTTGTTGACTTCCCAAATTTTTCTTTATCCAGTTTGTAAATAATAAGTATAATGACTTTATGGGCTAATTTTTTAATGAATAAACTTTCCATGCCAGAAATTGTATAAAATGTGTAACTATTTACAAAGGATGAATTTTATTTCCAAAAATAAACTGATGCAATGATAAATATAGACCTAACAATAAAGCCAACATGTTATGTTTCCGTTGCAAGTAACATCTAGAACACTCTCTAAATACTAAAAATCATTTTGCTTTTCTCTTTATAAGCATAATTTATTATATTATTATACTAATCTTGATCATTTATTTAAAAACAATTGAATTGAATCCAAGATCTGTAGTTGAAGGTATGGAAATATCAATTAATTCCATCCAAGTGATCGATCACAGGATAAAAAAATAAATACACTAATACCATCTAGAAGATGAACATGCAATGAAATGACCTCACTGACTAAATGACAAACACAAAGTTATATCATCTAAGTACCTACCCCTCCCTATAAAGCCACTATACTTACTAGGGAGCTCTTGCGCCCTCTCCTGAACAGTAGGACAGCTACTTCCAGCCTTGCTACCGTCACCGCGACGCAGCGTGGTCGTGTAGTCGTCCTATCGTCCAGTACAATGCGCGACATCGTCCTGTCAGTTAACCGAAACAGGGCTGGCTTGAGGAACAGGGTTTTCGCACACTAGTCAAGTAACTTGATTATTTACTCGATGTTCTTTAAATAATAAGCATTCTGTAATCTTATTTATGTCTACCAAGAATTTAATAAGTAGAATGTTGTGTATCAACAGTGAGATATTCAATAAAATGCTCACTGATAGCGTCATATCGATATATTGTATCAGTTTTCGATTAGGCCTGAAATTCTTCTTGATTAATGGAATTGGCCTCAACTTATGTGGCCAGACACAAATGAAATGAAGGTTTAAGTAGCTGAGCCATGTGATATATAAGTAATTATTGACTGAATAAGAGAATTAGGAGCCCATATTACACAAATCGTATAATGCTTTTTAGTTTGAGTCTCATTTTACAAAAAATCGACCAAATTTATTAGACCCATTTCTTCAAAGATTGTCCAACTTGTGCCAAGGCCTCAAATTTTGATCCCTGCCGGTCAATAGTAAAACCGGGTCAGAAACGTCTACTAATCGTGTATTAGATGCAAAGCCACGGTGATAACAGATTGAAGGCGCATCGCCTAATTGGCAAAGCGGTAGCTTGGCTGCTCACAGATTGAATGTCAACATGTGTTAATTGTCCGTCGAATTTATGTTCTATTTTCTTCTGGAGAGAAAAGTGGAAAGCTGCACACTCCAGGTAAAACTATCTGGCAATCCTTCGACCCAACTGACATAAGGGTAAATAATAATAAGCAGCTTTATTAATATGTTTACGTATACAGTGAACAATTATATCTCTATGAATCTTTCGAAATGGATCACATGATCTAAGAACCTGATTGATCCTATGCTGCATTTCTAGGAGATGGAGTCTGACGTGCAGTTCGGAATGTATGTAAATGACTAGTATGGTATACGTACTTTTAATTTATTGAGATATTTGGATTATGTAGCTGTTTAAAGGTGTCTTTTCAAATTGCCAAACTTCCGGCATCTCTTTTTCGCCTTCTTCAGGGCTTTTGGGTGAGGCTGCTTTCTGTCCGTTCTGGTAACAGATGACGCTTTGCGTTGCCTTATTTCCGTATACCTTATACCTTGGATAGAGGGTAGTTGGTATGCTTTCATTTATTGTCCACCTTAGACCAAGCCTATATATACAATGCTGATGAGTTGCGAAAAAGCAGGAAACACCTATCCGTGGTTGGCAGTCTTTGCTTGTATGGACGGAAGTAGTATATTTCTATTATTCGCACTTTTTTTCCTTTAAATGTGTTCGCAACGATACTGTAATTCATCATATTTTAGACTAATCGTGGCTGAAGTGAACCAATTGATGAATTAACCCACATAATACTGTACCGACCAACATGTGATCCTTCCTCCATTTAACTATTATGAGTTATCATGTTTTTGCCTATCATATAAACATAGATAACATTGAAGCACTGCGCTATCTTTAATCTGCTATTTGTAAAATTCATCAAACCTCCTGTTCAAAAAGCAATAGGAAGCATACACAATAGTGTGTTAGTGACATATTAATTAAAATGATATATTACAGTTTGTATTCAGCGGCGCTTAGCTTGAAATGAGTGATGCTTTCAGGCTACAGGCGAACGGATTATAAGCGATAAACATCATTATTGGTTGACGTGCCATAAACACAGGGAAACTGTCGTTTAACGACCAGAAACTTGGGGGTCGCACTGGTTAGTGCATTCGAATGGAAGAAACATGGACATAAGTTTAGCAACTTGGGCGGACAATTATGTGCAGTAACTAAGTCTAATTATTATGGAAATCACGTAACTGAAGGTTTACAAAACTTAATTTGCCCATAGCCTTGAACTTGTGGACGTATCTTCCTTTCTTTTTATACTGAGCTGGTAAGCTGCAATAACGAAAATTTTAATGAGGGTAATTAGGAAGGGCAGAAGTAGATCACACTAATAAAGGGGGCGGTCATATCTAATGCTATAAACAGCTTTCAATGTGGCACCGACGGCGTCCTTCCTGTCAAATCCGAATTTTTCCCGTATACTTTTGACAATTTGACCGGCACAAGTATTATGTAAAAAACCTATAAAACGTCAAAAGAAACCTATAAAATGTCATCTTGCGAACTAGGTAGTTTTTATGGTGAGAACAGTCATTCCACGTTTGCTCACAAGGATTGTTGTGAGCGTCCATCTGTGGAGGAATCGCTCAACTACACATGTACACGCATTGTTGGTTGCATATATTTTGTGAAGCCGAGTAGTCCTATAGTTTTAATCTGTTCATCTCTGAGAAGAAATTCATTCATTCACGGGAAATCACCACCGCGCCTGCGTTGGTTGTAATACTCGTATGTATACGACTTGTAATTCGACAGTGTACAGTGAATATAATTATTTCTTATCTCTCTCATTTTTTAAATTCAGCAAATTTGCATAGGTAATTTATAGAATTGATAAGAAAAACTGTATGCGCAGCTAATTTCAAGCTTTGAGTTTCAAGTAAGTGTTTTTGAGACAAGAATCCAATGGAATTATCATCAACACATATTATTAGCACACAAATCCTCAATATGCACTATGCATTGCCGTTAACTCCAGTAATGCCATCTCTGAAGCAGATTTTACATCACATCATAGCCAAAAATTGATAACTGAAGCCTCAGGATGCTTAGACAACACGTAGAACTACAAAACGAGTCCACAACGTGTTCAGCAGCTAGTTAACATCTTGTAGGAAAACCTACATAATGTCACAAAAAAGCAACATAATGTCAAAAAAATCGACATCGTGTCACTTGTCAAGAAACGGAATACCCGTGCCGCTTGACCTCCAACACACACTAACGCTGATCTTGATTCAGCAGGACTTATGTTTAAAGTTCTTTTATCGAGTTTTGGATTTTCCAGTAAAATTTATTATTAAATTTTTTTGATGATGCGCCTCAAAAACCAACATTTTGACGTTCATTTTACGTCAGCCCGAGTGCAATATTTATATTTGAACTCAAATCTGAGGTTTCAGGCTAAGGAAATATTCGAGCTGATAGGATACGGACTTACTTTTTTTGGGGAGGTTTCAAAACACTGCGCTCCACACTATATCTTAATAATATTGCTCATATATGCTAAAAATGACGTCATGTAGATAGACTATGCAGTTCACACGTAACGCTGTAATCAATTCAAAGTAGATCATGTTGAATACAAGCGAGCCCCAATGAGAAAAAGGTAAGCTACAAACATGA